GTTGACTTTTCATTACTGGCTTGAAGACTGACTCAACACAATCTTCATAATTTTATTTGGAATTTTGAAAGGGTAAAAATTACCAGAGTAACGCAAAGAGAAAAAGCAACCTTACGTAGGAAGTGCGAAGTGCCGTAACACTGAAAACGGAATCAACAAATTGGGTTTGAATTCTAACTGAGGCTCTTTGTGTTCACTTTTTTTTAACAGTTCACTCCAAGCAAGGCAATAAAGCCACTAAGTTGTAAGGAGTTACTGTGTGTGAGAGAACAAGAAAACATTATTAAGAAGAGGGAACAATGAAAGAAGAAGAATTAAGAAAACAAAAGATAACAAATGACATTGCATTTAAATTTTTGAAGATCAAAGTTGTCTGGAAAGCAAAAGGCCGAAAGGATTTTCACAAGCTTATGGTTAAATCTAGCAATTTCAATTGTATAATGATAGATTGACAGCGAGGTTTAGTCTTTTCATGTGCCATGTCCTTTCAGGACGTAGGCGATCATGGCTCTCCGCCTCCCTCTATCCCTTGCAGATCTCAACAAGCTTCTTCCCTCTGCTTCCTCCCCAGGCCACGTGCTGTCATCCACTGGTTTAAGGCCGCTAGGTATGTCATGCGTTGTTTTCCCTTGTCTCTCTTTCCCTCTATTCGGCCCGTGAGTATCAAATTCTCTAGGCTCTCCTTCCTCATTATGTGTCCCAGAAACTTCAGCTGCCTTTCTAAGAGCTTATCCTTGCTCATACGCTTGCTTAAATTCGTAAAGTCGAGGCATCATAGAGGAAAGCTAATCAGAACAAACACCTTTAAAATATTTATTTATAGAAGAGGCACAGGGAAGCTACGTAACAGGCGGTGAGAAAGTGACTGAAGCCGAGATGCCAGGTCAGAACCAATAACATTGCAGATTCTTCTTTGAAATTTATCAGGAATCTCTAAATACATAGCAGAAACACCAGACCAGATATGACAGCAGTATTCAATGTATTGACGAATGTTATCTTATAAATATGTACAAGATGGATTCTGCCGAGAAAAAATTGTTTAGCACGTCATTCTGAACCAACTTTCCTAGCAGTTTTGCTTTCACTTAAGAAAGGCATGAACTTATTTCCCTTCTCTCTGTCCACTTATCTTACTAATGTCATGACATCCTTTATACACGACAATGTATGACGGAGAAGGGTGTGGAGAGTGGACTCTCAGGAAAACCACTCCCCCATATCTTTTTTTGCTTAGTCTACAGCTATAATAAAAGTCTATTACGCCAATCATCGACCTGGTTCAGGGTTAGTCATTACGATGATTCCGGGCTATTTTAATTGGAATGATTATAATAAAATGCATGGTAATCAGCAGAGTCGTCATTTTTCTTGCAAATAAAAAAGGGAGATTATGAGAAAGACAAGAGGTTGCGTAGAGTTTTCGAACAGGTTTAATTTCTTTTAATGCTACAGAAACGTCTGATTCTAAGAGAATTCGGAAATGGTAGACGTTGAATAACATTCACATCTCAAAAACGTACTGTGAATAACATTAAAAAATAGAAATAAAAGTGGCAAGATAGATGTGACACTAAGTAGTTCAGTATATCTAGAGAAGGTAATGGACTCCTCGACGTTGTGTAATGGTTAGAAAGCTTGCATTACTAGATCAATTACGAATGAGTAGTGAGTTCGATCCTCACTTGGTGCCCCTAATTTTCGGCACATTTCCACATCTAAGCTGTGCTTAGAAAATCGCTATCTGGAGAAGGTAGAAAGTCAACTTTTGTAGAATAGGACTAAGCGTACTTCCTGCTCTTCCCTACTACTGTAACAATGGACTCCCCCTGCTTATAAATATAGCAAGTAGCCACATTAGAGGACAATTTGAGTTGTTGAATTTATGTGGCTGTTTTTGTTTTGTTTTTGTTTTTTGTAAGAACAATAAATATAAATACCAACTTCTATGATCCTTGGAACATTAGTATGTCAATAACTTTTCCATTCCGAGTTTGAATTGAGTGAGTTGTACAAAATCTGGACGACTTCTTTGCAACATTATATGAACAATTGCCAAAGGAAATTTATGAATCTCTTAAAATAGCGATGCTGCCCGAGATGAAATGAGCAACTTTTACTCACTGGTATTTAAGAATTTAATTTATTTACCCAACGCTGACAGGACGAGAGTTTTATACCGACTAATTAAGAACATCCGATACTTTCAGTTGAACAGAAAGTAATATCGAGTTTTTCGTAGAAAGAATAAAAGCGCGTTGAAATATACTCTAAGTCGAAATGTTTTGTATAAGGCAATCATTTTGAAAAAGTTAGTGCAATGTCAATTGATATCTTCAGTCTTCTTAATTTCTGTTCTTTTACTGTTCCCTCTCCTTAATAATGGGCTTACGGCCATATCGCGTTAAAACATTGGTTTCACTAAATCACCGAAGTTAAGCAATGTCAAGCCTGGTCAGTACCTAGATGGGTGACTGCTTGGGAATACCAGAAGCTGTAAGGTTGGATGTGCGGGTGGTGTAATGGATAATAGTTCGGAATTGTTAATCGGAGGGCCGAGTTCCAATTTCAGCTAAATTCGTTATATTTACTTCCGCGGAAATACCCTTGTGAAACGTATGAACACACCTGTTCTCCCCTAGCTATAGGTCAATCAGTAAGACTTGTATCACTAAATCATTATTATCTGACAAAAAAATTCTTACAATCTAAAAATATTTTCTGGCTTTAAATAACCTGCAAATGGTTGATAAGCCGTAAAAAACGATTCTATCAATCAATTAAATACTGATTAACTATACTGACATGTCTTTTAGATTCATTTACATTCTCTGGAATATAAATATATAGAAACTAAAAAATGAGGGCTCAGTTTATACACTGATTGTAATATAAAATTGATCCCCGACTTTATATCCAGAATATAATTTCTTGTTTATCAAATTCTGATTCGGTAGGAATCCACTTCTATCCTCAGCTATGGGTTAATTATTAAGACTTGTATCACTAAATCATTATTATCTTACAAAAATTCTTACAATCTAAAAATATTTTCTGGCTTTAAATAACCAGCAAAAGGTTGATAAGCCGTAAAAAAACGAATCAATCAATCAAACCTTAATAATGTTTGCTTTTTCTCATATTCTCTCGAACTCAGTAACTCCCCCCCCCCTTGCGTCTTAGTGGCTTTATTGCCTTGCTTGGGGGAAATGATTAAAAACTATAGAGTTATTCACGTGAGGGGAGTATAGTTTTAATTGAATTTCACTCCTAAATGGTATTGAAATGAAGCCAAAATTCTGAAAGTCTGGAGTTTTTTTTTTTATTTTTGTTACCAAAAAATAAATTCTGACCGCTGATCTGCAGGGTGGAACAAAGTCAAGATGTAATTTATTTTCATCCCAACATCATATTTAGCATTTAGTGATGCTTCAGTGCGGCCGCTCAGCTTCTTCAAAGATAAAAACTTAGAAACTACCGAACGCAGAGATCTAAAACTTTTTAATGCCTTCCAGCCCGATTGCAAGAAGCTTAGAACTTTGCACCAAGTTCCATTAAAATTGTGATACAGGTGCGATGTATATTTATCCTTTCATATAAGGTGTCCCATACATATATATATATATATATATATATATATATATATATATATATATATATATATAAGAAAAAACGAACAGTAAGATATATAATCCGGAGTTCTTATTTTGCTTTTGATTTTTTAGATATTTTATTTTTTTACAGAATAGTGCTCAATGTAAATTTACAGAGCATTAATATTATAAATTAATTGATTTAAAATATGTTTTTTTTTTTCGCTACACAGTTCTAACCATGTTTCAAAAAAATGGAAGCTAAAAAGCTCCATTAATTTAATTTTGTAATTAAATTAAAGACATTAGTTCCATTTCATCCTTAAGTGAATTTTGGAGTAACTTTTAAAATTACTGGGTTTTAAAGACACACAGCAAAAATCATGATTCACGTTTCCAAGGATACAGAAAATCCAATTCAACCAAACAAGGGGTGTCTGCGGGTTCATTATCGCTGTATTTTGATGTATCAGATATTAGTTACGTTTTGGTAGGGGTAGGGATGTATTTTTCAATGAAATCTGACATACAAATAGAAAAAATGCCATAAGAATTTTTGCCGTTAACAATAGAATTTTTAAAAAATCCAGACGACCTGCATTTAACGGATTAATTTCCGAACACTTCATTTCTGTCATGTGGTTAATATTAATAAATGTTTTTTAAAACAGTGGAAAAGTTGATTGCTTGAGGATGAATGGAATACATCGGTACCCCATTTCGTTTAGCGAAAAAAAAACATATTTTAAATCAAATTATATATATATATATATATATATATATATATATATATATATATATATATATATATATATATATAAATTTTTATATATAAATATTATACATAATACTCGAAAGTGCTTAAAACATTCTTCATTTTAAACATAGTAATTTAAAACATTGATTTTCTAAAATTTAAAATCCAAAAAATGGCTCATATTTTGTTAGTGAATTAAGTTATCTAAGTAATTAAATATATATAAATATATATATATAAATATATACATTTTATATATATAATAAAAATACATATTTGATATTTGTTTCTGTTCATTTTTTTTTTTTTTTTGAAGTTTATTTTGAAGTTCTAAAATAAAATTCATATTTTTTTATATAAAAATATTTATATATATTTATTAAAAAATTCAACATAAAAATGTATTTATTTATATATATAAATATAAAATATATATATATGTCTGGAAAATTTGACATTTTGGTACCATTTATATAAATAAAGGCATATTTTCCATTCAAAACTTTTTTCAGAAAAAAATCAGATTAATCGTTAATTTTAGCATTTTATTGTATCTTCTTATTTGTATTTTCATTGAAAAGTACGTGAAATTAATTTGAATGAAAAAATTCAAAGGTGCAAATTTTTCCATCAATGCGTATTTTTAATGTACATTATGGCCTGAATATTATATAAATACTTAATTAATGAAAAAATAGCACGACAGACGCCCTATTCCTTGATGGCAACAGAATTAGAAAATGCTGTTCAAAACCTAGAGGGTCGTTTGGGGACCTGTTAGGTGCTTTGAATTTGGCCTTCAAAAGTGTGGATGGTCCTGAGAACCTTCATATAATCAAATGCAGTGCCGTTGTCGAATAGTCGATTTTAAACAGATCTTTTTGACCCTCAATTCGACGGGAATATATATATATATATATATATCAATGTTTTTTAGCAATCCTAACGTTAAATAAACCAAAATGGATTTTTCGTTTATTAATCTACACAGTTTTAATTAATTGAAACTTTTTTTAACCCATATTTGAGTAGATGCTCTGTTTATTTATTCAATAGTATACTATCCATCTTATAAAAAAAATAAGTTTAGAACAATTTATATATATATATATATATATATATATATATATATATGATTATATTATAAGTCTCCACCATTTCTCTGTTTATTTCTCGCATTTTAAATTTTTTTTTTCCTCGTTGCCAAATCTATAGGCAAAACCCCTTTTCAATATCAAAGGATCCCAATTTTTTAAATCTAATCTTATTTTCAAATTCGACAACGAGAAATTAAACAGTGATCGAACTTTTACTAATAATTCCATCTACAATGGATTCTCCTCAGCCTCAAGAACTGTTGTGAATCGCCACCGTTTCTCTAAAAAAAGGACATATTGTCGAAATTCAATTTAATTTCCGTACTTCATTTCTGTCATGTGGTTAATATTAATAAATGTTTTTCTGTGAAATTTACATTTTCGTTTGCCTACTATTTTGTAAAAATAAAATATATATATATATATATATATATTATATATCTTAACACTAATATTCCATGGTTATAATTTATTACATTGAATTTTCCAGTTCATTTTCTATCCTCTTCGATATATATATATATATATATATATATATATATATATATATATATATATATATATATATATATATATATATATATATATATTCTGAATACAATTTTCATTTAATACGGCATATTTTTATTCTTTCGTTACTTTTAGCGGATATTTTGATTAGATACCTGTTTAGATAAAATTTATTTACCAGCCTGAATATTAAAAATACTCTGTTTTAAGAAAACAGTTCAACTAGGGGAAACTGTTACTTTTAATGGCCTGAATGTTTGCAGTGCTCGAATAGTGATTTTAAACAGAAAAATATAAATATACATTCTGCTTCGTTTTCAATCGTAATAAACCTCGCTCGACACAGTGAACCTTTCTACGGCGATGGATTCAATGTAGTCATTCTCATGTCTGAACGAAAGAAATATATATATATATATATATATATATATATTATATATATATATATATATTATAAATTAATTGATTTAAAATATTTTTTTTTCGCGATGGCAAAAGACAAAGGTTAAATGCTAAAATGACGAGAAATTGTGGAGAGCCATGACCGCCAATGTTTAGAACTTAGCGAAAAAAAACATATTTTAAATTTAATTTAAATAAATTATATCTTGATAAAAATAAAAAACGAACTAAATATCTTACTGAATATATATATATATTCTGATATTATACGTTATTCCTATAGAAAAATTTATTTAAGTCTTTTTTTAAATGACAATTTAATACAATGTTTAGAAATTGAAAATATACTTCTCCGACAAACAACCTGATTCCTAATGGACTTGAATTAAGAAAGAAAGAAAGATAAAGAAAGAAAGAAATTGAACATTCAGGTAAATGAATCATTATTTAATCTATGTGCTCTGCCGCTTCCGGACGTTGACGATCATGGGTCTCCATAATTTCCTGACCTTTGTAGCTCTTAATATTTTTTATCTTCTTGCAATCTCTCCCAAATATTGTTCCGCCATTCATTCACTCAAGCTCGCCAGGTAGGACGTGCCTTGCTTTCCTCTGAGCCTCTTAACTTCAATCGGGCCTGTGAGTATCAAATTTTCGATTTCCTCTTTCTTCATTACGTTACCCAGAAACCTCAGCTGTCTCTTCCTGATGTTAAATGTAAGTGTTCCTTTTGTTGTTAATATCTCTTGAATTTCGTCGTTGCTCACATGCTTGGTTCATGATATTCTCAATATCCTTCTGTAGAACCACATTTCTGTTGCTTCAAGTCTCTTCTTCATCTGGGAGGCAATTGTCCAGCATTCACTGCCATATAGGAGGACTTATACTGCATGTTGAGTTGAGTATTCTTTTTTTTTTCTATTTCTTTATACTTTACTCAGCTTTTGAAGGCATCTTTCACTATCCCAATACGCATTGAAATTAAATATTTATAAATATTCAAAATGTCTACGAACTCGGAAATTGAGTACATTTTTGGAGGAAACCCTGTATTACTGGTTGAATTAGTTAACTCGGTTAAGTTTTATTTTTGAACTCCAGATGGTTGTTTGTAGTGCATTATTAGTACTTGTTTTAGATT